TTCCTTAGTAACTATCTTAGAAGCATATAATATTTTAAAAGTTTTGTTGGGATTTTATTCTCATTAAAAATCCAGGCGAGTGTGAGACAGGAATTAAGTTGAATCTAAGAAATGAATGGATTTTAAATAACATCTGCACTGAATGAGATTTTTGGTTGCACTGAGACTAAGCAGAAATAACTGTTGTGGGTGAAATGGAAGGAATTTCAAAGTGCTTTTATTCTATTTATAGGGATTTATGGCTCACATGGCTTCAGCTTTCTCTCCCTTCACTTCTTCATTAAGGACCACATAGTATCCTGCCATCCTGCTATGCTGTGTTGCTTCAGGCATCGTTCTCTTGTGCCTGCAGATAGGCTTTTTCATGCTTGCTCTCACTTTTTCTCAGTATTGTGTTCTGGTCTAAATTGACTTAAAATGCATACAAGATTAGAGCATTCACAGACTTTGGAGTTCAAATTTTAAACTTGTAAACTCCTCAAGGTCTAATGGAAATTTTTTGTTTTTTGTTGGTTTTTTTTTTGTTTGTTTGTTTGTTTTGTTTTTTTTTTGGCTTGTCAAGCTTGGAAGGAGAATTTTTATTTGTTTAAGAAAAGTTTTTCAAGAAATATTAGGAAAACTCACTTTGGCTAGCCACCCCTCTTGAGGTTTCCTGGTTTTTGTTTTTCTGGTAAGCAAATATATGTATTAAACGCATTCATTCTGTTCTTGTCAATGCACAAAAATTTTCACTTAAAACCTAGGAATTTGCATTACACTTGTGTGATGGAGGGAGCCTCCATTGTTGACCTCCCACATTGAAGAAATCTGGGCCATGGCAGCATTTGCAGCAGCAGCACTAAAAAAAGTCAAATGGCAGGTTCGTGCTGTTTATGTTGACCTTTTTCCTCTTGCCTTGTCATCACTAGATCATTCGACACCAGCCAGCCAGTCTCCTCACTCCTCCAACCCCAGCAGCTTGCCAAGCTCCCCTCCAACCCATAACCACAATTCTGTTCCCTTCTCCAACTTCGGACCTATTGGGACTCCAGACAACAGAGACAGGAGGGTTGCAGACCGCTGGAAGACAGATAAGCCAGGCAAGTGCTAGGTTCCAGGCTCACGCAAAGCTGGCCTGTGGTGTTCGCTTTGCAGTGATTTTGCTACGTTCAGTTGAACTTATCTTTCTACCATTTTAGCAATGGGAGGGTTTGGCCTGGACTACCTTCCAGCAACATCATCATCTTCGGAGAGCAGCTGGCACCAGACCAGCACTCCCAGTGGCACCTGGGCAGCCCAAGGCCCTCCTGCTATGGAGGACTCCTCAGCTGTGCTTATGGAGAGCCTGAAGGTACGCTTGACTGAAGCTGTGCTTAGGAATGGGTGTTTGTTTTTCCTGCAGATTCATTTATGCAGGCAATGTGGGAGGTGTGACCAGTGCTGGAAGATGTCATGGTTTTCCAGTCCTTGCTGGTTTAGAGTATTTTGTGGAACAAGACCAGGCTACCAAACCAGAAGAAATTATAAAATTTGCTTTGACTATTCTAAAATGAGTAATGGTTAACATGGGATGATTTTTATGGTAATGAGGATTATGGAGGATGATAAGCTTCTTCCATGGAGCCTCCTTTTGGAACGCCTTCTTTGAAGTCTACACAACTTTTATGATAAGCCATGTACAAATGATAAAGAGGGAGAATAGAAAAAATTGTCTCCGCTTTCTCTTCCGTAAGAGGGGAGGGGCTGTCTAATGCAAGGAGGTGCTATTGTTGGCTGTTTGTTTTTAGTCCATCTGGTCCAGTTCCATGATGCACCCTGGACCCTCGGCTCTGGAGCAGCTGTTAATGCAGCAGAAGCAGAAGCAGCAACGTGGACAAGGCACCATGAACCCGCCGCATTGAGACCAAGGTGGCAACCCTTGCAAACGAAGGCTCCATAAACCATGGCATGTTGGGTTTGCAGTGCTGGCCCACACAGTCCTGTGCAGGTGGCAGCCCTCTCTTCTGGTCCTTGCTGTCAGGAGGGCGTAAGTGCTCCACCAACCCACTGAGTGTGCACAAAACGTCTGCAGTGCAAGAAAACAACATCAGGAACTCTCCCATCCCTGGGCCCTCTGGAGGGAGAGAGGAACTGCTGTTTGTCTCACTCAGTAACCCGATATCACCGCCTCTCACCTTCTCCATTGTGCATGTCCCCAGCCACATGGGAAGTAAAAGCTGAGAATGAAGGGCAGATGGGAGAAGCCAATGAGAACTTCTCAATCCTTCTCCTCTCTTTGGGGAGATAAAATACAAATCCATTAATGATAGCTTTGCTGACTGAGAATGTAGTTGAAATTACTGCTAAACATCTTTTATTACTATCTCAGTAGTAAGATCACACTGAATTCTTCTGTACACAGACGTGCTTCATAGTCAGTGTGTAGCAATGAAAGCCCCAATTGCTGCTCTGGTCAGAGATGGTTGGTGGCGCGGGGGAGCACTATCTCCTGGGCTAGCAAAGGAGTTTCATGAAGGAGAGTATGGCACTTGACACCACTTTACCTTCACCTAAAGGCTTTGGCCAGCCCATGGGTGGGTTAGAAACTCCAGCATGAAATGCCCTCTTCTCAGTAGGTGTTTGAGCTATAATTGGTGATGTGGGGCATTGCAGCACTCTGCTGGACAAGCAAGTTAACTACTATGGGGTTTTGAATTAATGTTTGATTCCTGTACATTTTACTGTAGCATAGTGGCTAGCCCCACAAAGGGCAGGCTAGTCTGTGCATTCACAGCCTGACTCATTTTAATAGGTAGGTAGAAAGCTTTCAGTGGTTTTTGTTTTGTTTTCTTTCTTTCTCCATCCTCCCATCTTCGCTGGATGCTAGTAGTTTCATTACCAACGTGCAACGTCTTGCAGAAAATAATCAGGGGTCCAGCAGGGCTGGGTAAAGCTGCCAGTCAGCCTGGACAGTGCGGAGTGTATGCACCCCGTAGGCACACATCAGCTCTGCAGAAACCCGTCCCCACCTCCCAGCCACAGCTGCAGCCCCAGACTTTCAGTTCCAGAATGAGATTCAAGGCACCCGTGGACACACGAGTGACCCACACACAGAAGAAAGTATAGTGCTGTTCATAGACAAAAAGGTGCAGAAGGGAAAGGGAAATGTTTTATTTGCTATTTATTAGAGGGAAGGAAGATTGCAAGCTTTGATAAAGAAAAGGACAACATTTTTGTTAGGTTTCCCAGGGAAGTTATGGAAACAATGTCCATTTGCTGTGTTTAGCAGTAGGGATTTGTATCATGATTCAGGATCTCTGAGCTGGAAGTCAACTGCAGAGCAAAGCACATGCAGGGGCCGAAGTGACACTGGAGTCTGGGCAGCCACAGAGAATAAAAAAAGGGAAGATGAAGGAGACACAATACTCCTGCAGGGGTATGAGCAGCTCACACATGACCTCCACCTTAGCAACATCACTGTTCTTTGTTGCATTTCGAAGTTGTGTTTCCTTTAAAAAGTCTAAAAGTTTCCACCCAGTGGTAATATGAACCAAACCCCTCTACTTCCCTCCAGCCCTTCCAGTTTGTGTATTGAGCTGTGCACCCAAGCAGCTGCGACATTCCGGTGTTTGAACTGTCACTGACTCTTGCACCCTAGATGAGCTAACCAGGTTCACCATCTCACTCCAGCAGTGCCAGGGTCCCAGCCACACCGCTCCACTTGTGCATGAGCATCTGGCCTTGGGAATGCATCCGGCTCTTGGCTGGGACACCCCTCCTGCCCTCCAATGCTTGGAGGAGCGAGGGAGAGGGGCCCCTAACAGAAACTGGTTTGTGTCGTAAGCTTTTTTTGTGTTTTTTTGTCTGTCTGTGCAAGAACTGCAGCTGCTGAAATCAGCTTTGCCTTTAATTAAACCATGTTCTCTCCATGCAGGTCTGTGTGTAGCGTTTATTTCCTGTGTAACTTGGCTGCAGGCTTTTAAACATGCCACATTTTTCTAGAGAAGTCAAGAAAAGGCTTGAAGTTCTAGTGGGAGGTGGAGGACACAGATCCTCCTGCTGGTGACCTGCCTGCAAATCAGGGTGTTGGCTGTTTGCAGCCAGTTTTTGAACAGCATACTTCCAAATGTGTCAAAACTACAGTGATGATCTGGTTTTGAAATGACAGGCATTCATTGTAACCAGGCAACTCTTCAGAATAAATTCCTTTCAAAATAGCTGTGATATTTAGGGTATTGGGACAGTGGGGTTGTCCAGAACTTGCGTGATAGTATTCCAAGTGGACAAACTGCTGCCCTTGGCACCTTCGAAGCAAGGCACTCCCAAAACTGTGGGTGGCTGGTTCATCTATAGCTTGCGTGTTTTGAGGTACATCATTTTAAAATGCCAGAAGGAGCAGCTGTCAGCAAGAAGGACCAGAAATACTGTGAAAGTAGTGCCATGGGCAGAGAAGGGTAAATCTCTTGGACAGGGAAGAGGGCATCAGCGTTATGTACGCTTTTATAAAGGGGGCAACTTTGCTGCAGAATGACCTGCTGAGATTCCAGGCAGTGTCTAAGTTACTGTCTCTTCTGACTGCTGCAAAAATGCTTTGAGATACAGCTCCCAAAGGTTTAAAAATGTATATACTTTTTTTGGTGGGGGGTTTTAGTCACCAGGGTTTTTAAGTGAATTGTCAGTTGAAGCAGGGTGAGTCTGCATGGTGTCTCTTAAGCTCTTGGGGTTGGCAATGATGTTTTAAGAAAGCAAACACTGTTCAGCCTTTCCTGGTCTGTAGCTTCTTGAACACCAGTTCTGCTTCTGGATCTTCTGGCAGGGCTGTGAATGCAAGAGGCACCACCCTCATGGGTTTTCCCAGCTGCTGGCATGTCTGCATAAAAGCTTTGTTAAGGATAGGGCAGGTGGGACAGAGGAAGTCTCTTCGTAAGCACAGGTTTTATGACTGAATGCATTCCTAACAGGAGGATGATGAGCAGCTTTTTAGTAAATACCCGTTTTAGAGAACAATGCAAAATGTAAAATAAAAAAGCTTTTAATACAAGTAGCAGTAATATTTAAAGTTCATTTTCAGGTGCAGTGATTAATACAGAAACTCCTTAATTGCAGTGGTTGAATTCTTAATTTCTTTCCACATCCACGACTTTAAGCTCTTTGAAATCACATCTCCAGGTCTTTACTGTTAGACTTTTGAACAAAAGCGGATGGGAAGATGCCTATCTTCCCATTGCACTGGCCTTCTAACCAGTCTTCATTCACTGGAAGATAGAACCAACGTGATTTTTGTCACCATATGGATATATAGGAGCACAATAACCTCCCTGTGCTATAGACAGGTCCTAGATCACCTCTTTAAGGTTTCCTGCTAAAGCCTGATGCAGAGAGGAATGTGGATGAAAGGAGCTGGGGAGGAATGAGGTAGAGAGCAAGCCTACAAGGTGTGAAAGAATGCAGGTAGGAAAAGTAGAACAAGATAGAGACTGAGGGGCTTAGAAATTGCCTTGAATAGAAAACAGTGGAAACAAAGTGAGTATGGAGAGCAGGAAAATGATCTGAGACCTCAGGCTGTTGTCTTCAAGGTGCCAACTAAACTGCATTTTCACCTGCTGTTCTATGTTTGTGTGAAGAAAAAACCCAGAACAAATCCTCAGAGCCTCTGCTACCCTGGGTTGAGTAAAGCTTAGGAGCTCTGAAAGCTCTTGCTGTGGGGGAACCAAAAGAGGTAAGAATGAACTTTTTAGTGGGAAATATTTAGTTCAGCACTGACAGTAGAATTTTGGAGGGGGAGAAGTCATCAATGTATGGTGCAAAACCTTACCTGTACAGTGGTAGAGGTGGACTATGATCACTTGTCAAATAGCCAAATCACTGATAGAGCTACTTCCAGCAAAATAACATCCTTTTTTTTTTTTTTTTTTTTTGTCTTTAAAACTTTCTGATGCCTTGATTTCATGCAGAAAAGGAAAACAGATGTGCTGGGCAGGGTCTGTCTGTAATTCTTCACCTGATACAGGTTCACTGGCAGTTTTTGCTGAAGCACAGTAGTAACTTTTCCTCTATCCTACGCATTCTGCACAGGTTTGAAGGGATCCAACTCAAAAACTTGTACTAGACTATTTACTCTGTATTTAAAGTCTCTATTCTCATTAAAAGCACCAAAGACTAATACTGAAGGGGACTGAGCCTAATGGAAGACTATGCTTAAAACCAAAACCAGACAGAAAAAGGTGCCACGTAGGAGAGATAGGAGTAAGAGCATTCTGCCATTGTGGGAGCAGCAGACAAAATAAGGCATCTCCTTTAAAAAAAGTGATCAGTAAGCTTAAACACAGCTCAAGTGAAGCCCTCTCATCTGGAAAGTGTATGGGGAAGAGGGTGGCAGAAGCAGGTGTGATGAAAATGTGTTGTCAGAGGTGTTTATAACACACTTGGGTGGGAAGCCCATGGTAGAGCTAGAGGAGCTCTGCTGCAGCTACAGCATGAGGCAGCTGCTGTGGAAGAAAGCACATGTAGAAAGCAATCTTGCAGACTTTAGGTTCTGCTTTTTTTTTTTTTTTTTTCTGCCTTTTGTCCATGGGGATGGAGCAAATTTGCCCTGTGAATGGAAAGTGGAAGCTCGGAGACAGCTCTTAGCAATGTGAAGGAAGGTAACTCTTGTATGTGTCCTTAGGTTGTCCTTACCCCTGGCTTCCACCTGCCACCTCATGTAATCTCTGCTAGTTTCTTTTCTAATGTCTTGTAAAGTGTTTGAGTTCAACACAAGCTTTCTCAGAGTGCCCTGCAGCAGAAATCTGAGCAGCCCGTTTTCCATCTAAAGGTGGTAAACTGCAACTTGCAGAAGTTTGCTATCAGTGAGGGTTACCTGAGCTATAGACCTCTGCTCTCAGGTTTCCAGCATGAAACAGTTTGCTTTAGGGGACAGGGGGATTTGGGGGAAGAGATCAAAGTACCTAGTGAAGCTCATAACCTCCACTGAAGAATGTGCATCCAGTGTCTGACCAAATACCTGAGTGTTTTTGGCCTGACAGATGTTAGAAGCTCACAACTTCCACTGGACTGAGCAGCAGTTGCTGCAGGCACTTGGCATCCTGGGCTCAGACCCATGCTCTCACCAGAGCTGGAAGCTCCCTCGCCTGTTGCAGAAGGAGCACAATTACCTTTAGATAGAACAAGTATCACATCTCCTGCCTGAAACTCCAGGTCTTCAGGCTGGGTGGCTTCATAATTGTACTGTGCTACAACTTGGGTTGGTCCTGTCTCCTCCGGTGTTGGTTCCTGTGGCAGCTCCTCTGGTTTGCTGTCTGGTAAAACCCGTTCTCCCTAGGGCAGGAAATAACTGGTAAGGACACCTCGTAAATCCTCCTTTTTGTTTGTACCAGGGTAAGAAACAAGCTGTGTTTCTCTTCACCTGCTCTTTGCTCATCTGCCTTTAAACAGGTCACTGGCTAACTTTGAAAGCCATAAGCCTGCACTCACAACAAGGAAAGTAAAAGCAGTATCTGCTTGGGTTCCTTGCCAGGAGCAGGCAGAAGAGGTGGCTGCCACCACTAGCTGTCACTGACCTCCGTGATGTCGCACCAGACTGTCACACAGCTGTCCTTGCTCTGGCTCCAAGCTGCCTCCAGGTTCTCTGTGCTCAGATTCACTAGCACTTGGCTTTCCACAGGCTTGTACCTGCATGTGCAGAGGACATGGGGTAAGAGTAGGAGCCCTGAAAACACAACTTTAGCTCCCTGCAGTGGGCAGTGCCTCACCTCAGCTGTGTGTGCTTGGGCTGGAGCTCCAGTTTCTTGCAAACCAGGTCCAGTAGCTCCATGTAGGAGAGGCTTGTCTCAACTTGCAAGGCAACTGTGTATTTGTAATGCACTTTGAGAATGCAGGGGCTGGAGATGGCCGATTTCGTCTCCTGCGGGTGGTAAACTGGATGTCAGAGCTTATGTGGCTTGGTGAGGGTAGGGAGAGTGACTGGGATATAGAAACTGTGGGTGCCTGAGTCAAATCTGAGCTGTGGGGCATCAGCTGGCTGCTGGTCAGGGAGACATCTCTGCTAGAGTGTGTCGCCTTTGGTACTTCTTTCAGGGCAGGTCAGTGGTTGTGCCACCTAAGCTATCCTGGGCTTGTCCCAGGAGAGAGCAGAGTCGGAGATTAGTCACTTAGCAAACAAATGGTGACTTCTGGGTGACCAAATTTGAGGTGTGTCTACCGTCCACCCCCCTCATTCCCTTTTTTTTCTGAGTTGGGATTGCTGTGTTTTCCCATTTCTCTCCCCAGTGTGACTTTCTGATGCACTGACCTTGCACAGGAGTGTGTGCACTACAGCCAAGCTCTCTTCATTTCTCTCTTCTGAAGTGGTACAGGTCAACTAAGATGGGAGTTGTACAAAGGTTCTGCTGACAGTTGCAGGTCCACTGCGGAGTGGACTGGAGAACTCCCCAAAAGCAGCCCTAGTCACCTGGTTTTGTCCTGATGACCTACTGGCTCCTCAGCCTGTTATGTTTTGGAGAGGCTAATGAATGATGAAAACCTAGAACACTTCCAGGGCCAGGGTGCTTGCTGGGCATGCCAGCACCTTTCAACATGCAGTAAATGCAGAGTTGTAACACCAACAACACCTTGGGGTCTGCATTCACAAGATGTTACCTTTGCTGCACCTCTTGGCTGTGTCACAGTAACAGGAGCGCTATCTGTGGAGGAAGAAAGAGGTAGCTCAGGAAGTGGAACAGGGGAAGGATTACTGCTCAGTGCCTAAACAACATTCAGATCTCCTGCAGCCCATCATTATCTGTAGCAACATCAACCAGCCCTGGAGCCACTGCAGGTCACTTGAGTGAATGCAGCATCAGCTGTGATGGGGTTCATCTGTAAGATTTAGATGTAGTCACCAAGCAAAGGTTTAGTCTCTGTGCTTTCCCTCTCATAGGGATGGGACTTCAACGGGTCTTTCCTGTGCAGATTTAAAAAATGATGAATATGTGAGCTGTCTTTGCTCTTCTGATCTCCCTAGGTCCACACTGGAACTGGAGACAATCCCTGTGCTTCACTGGGGTCATAGAGCTAAATTTAGACCTCCAAGTACGGTGCTTTCATGTGGGTTTGTTTAAGTCTCTTCAAAAGGATCTATTCTATGTTTTGTCAGTGTTTTGACACAACTGTGCTTGTTATGGGAAGAGTCAGTGAAGTTGATTGGAGTCCCACTGCTAAATCTGCACTGGCTTTTGGTACTATAAAGATGCTCTTTGAGGTGGTTGTGTTCGTGAGCTGTTTGCTCTTAACTCATATGAGCCATAGTCATCTTCTGTATCAGCTTTACCACTAGACTGCTTTTAAGGTTGCTCTGCTTGGGAAGCAAACCCTGGCAGAAAACTGCAGCGGGTTAACACCCACGTGTTATAGTTTCTGCATATTGATTATTTTTTACCCCAAATGGGTTTTCCCTGCAGTGGTTTGGAGCTCGCAGCTCAGCTGCAGGCTCCTACGTCCAAGCACTGCATGATCTCTTCTAAAGAGGGCAACTGTCAACGCTTCCTCCCTGCTCTTCTTTTCAGCTCATGTTCTCACATGCTCGCAACAACAGCAGTTTTGGACCATGCACCTGAGCACTCCTGCAGCAGTGCAGATGCAGACAGCAGAGCCCTTTTCAGCTTCCCAGCACCCTGAGCTAGCTGTGCTGGGGGTGATATGGTGGTTCTGGTGCTACCATCCCTGCCCCAGGCCTGGGACATGGGACACTGGGTAACACTAGCTAGAAATACCCTTCTCAGGGCAACAACCACAGCTCCTTCACACCTAGCCCAGTTCATAGCAGCACTAACAACATTGTAGGTGCCCTGCTCTAAGGAGGAGCCTATAAGGAACCTTCTACTCCAAGCTTGAACAAGCTGGGTTATGTGCCTCATTCCTATCCCTAGGACCTTTCTCCCATTAGTTGCTGTGCTAATTTAAGAGCACTAAGGGACTTGCTTTCTTTGGGGACCCACCTGCTCTATTTTATTCCACCATCAGCATTGCAGTTGCTGTCTCCGCCTCCTGCTTTAATGTCCCCCCATCCTTGGCTGCAAATGGGTCTAAGAATGAAATAGTGATGAGCCCTAGCCCTGGTCTCAAAGTGTGAGGACATGGAACCAAGGAAACCATCTCAAATCTGCTGTCAGGGGTTTCACCCCTAAGGCACCCCTGTCCCTTGAGCTCCCCTTCACTGACCTGGTGCTGGCCGCCGTGGTTTCTCTGGAGCAGTAGAGCTGGGTGACTCTGGGATCTCTGCCTCAAGAGGAATTTCTTCCTGTGCCAGATAGAAAGAAGGTAGTGCTGTCAATCCCACCCCTCCTAAGGGAGCTGGGGTGCTACTGCCCTATGGAGCCTGATCTTCAACCCTCTATATTCCCAAGGTCTGTTTGGGATCTTGAACCAGGGAAGGGTAACTTCGCTACCCCTTATCCCCCCCCGACATTGCCAACCACCACCCGGGGGGCATTGTCACAGCATCTGCCTACATTTTGCAGGTCTCTGAACTCACGTGAAGGTGACCGTGAGCTAGAACAACCAAGCCCAGCATTATGAGGGGGAGGGATTTGCAGGTATAGGTCCTGCTGGAAGGCCCAGAACGGGTGGTGGGTGAATGTGTGGAGATCTGCCCTCCCAAGGACACAGTCTCCTCCTGGGTCTCCTTACCTGGATATGCAGCTTGTTCTGGAGCTCCACAGGCTCGAGGTAGTTGCAGGGAACAATCCCTTTCTGCAGGGAAAGGAGAGCTGAGTGGTGATTGCTTGGCAAGCAAGCATCCCACTGCTGCCAGACGCAACTGAGCTTGTCCTCACGCTACCTGAACACAGGAGAGTCCCTGAGGCTGGAAGGTTAGTTGATGCAGGTTGGATGGGTTTCAGCAAACCCTATGGCCTAAGCCAGGGTGGACATAATATGGGACTTGAATTGGAAACCCATTTAGTTGCTCACAGCAAGGATTTGCCCTGCAAGTCCCACCCCGTGCTACCTTTCCATTGAACATCACTGTTGCCCAGTTGTCCTTCTCTTTCTTCAGGACAAAGACAATGTTTCCCGGCAGGACCTGCAGCTCCTCGGTGGTCTCAGGGATGAACTCATACAGAACACGATGTGGCTGCCCTTCGAGGGCCCTGGGTGCAGGAGCAGTGGATAGGTCAGGAAGGTGGGTGACATTGTAGGGGGAACCCAGACCTCTGCATCCTTGTTCCTATCAACCCCTGTTCCCCCTGAGTTTTGGGTTCTGGCTGGATGGCTGGATGCTTGGCTGTGATGGTGCAGGATGGAGTTGGACAAGGATGCATGGGTTAGCAGTGTTGTCCATCCTTCGTCCAACTTACCTGAGGACTTCTGGAGTCTTGGGCCTGGGTGGAGGACCAGAGGCCTGCCAACAAGATGGCAAAAAGGAAATTATCAGTAATCTGGAGGATTTTGATTGCTTTGCAGAAATATCCTACAGCTTCTACCATGCCTGTTATTACCCCTATGTGGTTCCTTCCTCCCCATGCTGATGGCAGGTTAGATGATTTGAACCAAAATGGAACTTTTTGCTGCTTTGCAGGGAGCTGAGGTAAGTTTTCGACTGTTTGCCACCTTGATACATAAAGTGCTGTGAGGATTATCACTGTCTTTGCTCCCTCTAAGGAGTAGTTTCTAAATTCTTCCGCCTGCAGCTGGTTTTCAGAAGCACAGTCCTGTGTTCGATCATGATTCTGGTTTCAGCTCACAGAGGGCTGAGACTGGGGATTTGAGACCAACTGGCATAAACTCTGCTTCTCTGTATCTTCCCATTACCGTGCTTGTAAAATTTCCTGCTGCCATCATAGTGCTTTACTGTCTCTTCTGCTGTAGGAAGTTCTCTGGTGGATTTCATCAACCCTCTGAAGAAGTAACTTGAAATAGGCCTGACTCCTGTAGCGAGGTGTCAACACTTGGCTGCACTGAGGGGTGTATTTTATATTGCCTAACGGTGCTGTGGGCTGCAGCAGCTCCATTTCCCCATAAAAATCTTCTCAAAGGTCATGTAAAAAACTCTCGGGCACCTCTGGAGATGGAAAGATGCTGCTATAGCATCAGGAAAATGGCACAGAAAATGCAAGGGGCTTAGAGAATAGGGAGGAGGGTGGATAATGAAAGCAGAACTGCTCTTGTTTCTCCACGTCAGCTTAGACAGATGAACCCTAATGAATCTTATGAGGAGGGTCTGAGACAGCTCTGTGCTAAAAGCCGTCATCCTGCAGCAGTGGTGGAGGCAGAGGATGTGCTGTCCCGCTGCTACTTCCCTGTTCAGGGAACCAGTTTAACCTCAACCACAGATGTAGGTGGCTTCAGCTGCACTTCCTGATGATGGAGGGAGCAGCTGAGATGTGGGGGCAGTATCCTCCTCCTCCCTGCGGCAGTAGCAGAAAGTTCATGGTAGTGATGCTGCTGTTTGCTCCCCACTATGAGCTAGAGACCACAGTAGGGTGCAGGATGATACCCACCCCTATGTCCTCCTGAACTTTCACCAAGGATTCTTCTGTTCAGCGGTGGTGCCTTACCTGTGGCTGAAGTGGAGCAAATCCTGAAAAATCATCTTTGTCCACCACAGATGCCACCACCTAGAGCCAAAGGCAGACAGGTAATAATGTAATGCTTCCAGACCTCTCTTAAACCTCTGATGTCCACCCTCCTCCTTGGCTGTTGGCCAAGTCAAGTTCTTCAGGATGCTTCAGGTTCGAGAGGGGCTGTGATTTTAGGCTAAGCATCTTGGATTACGGACTGTGTACTTCTGGCACCAAAACTCACCTCTCAGCTATGGTAAGTTCTTGGCTCTTAGCCTCACTGCTACTCCAGTTAAAGTCATAACCTAAAAGTTTCCCTTTATGTTTTAATCACAAATGTTGAAGGAAGCCAATATATCCAACTTGAGCCCTTACTTCCTATAGGTGACTATAGGAAGTTCACAGATGTTTGTGTGCATGTTTCTGGGGTTCCTCTGATATCCAAGGAGCTCTCAGTTGCCCAGTTCACCAGTGCCTGCACAGCCAAAGGTTCCCTTTCTGGAGGAGCCCAGGACCTGAGCTCAAGGGTGATATCCTCATGCTTTGACTTTGCGCAGTCATGGGAGAAAAGCTTGCTTACTTATGGGAGCTGAAAAGCCCCTTTCAAATTGAGCAGAAGAAGAACTGGATGTCTTTTGTGTCAGATGTTACATAGCTTCTTGGCTTGCTGACTGTCCTTCATTTCTCGCTAAGGAGAGAAATTGAAAATAGGCCATGCTCTTCAGAAACATGCTATTTAGCTTCTCTGTCTTATTTTTCCCCTGTTCCCCATGAGATCCCTACATGCCATTCCTCCCTCCATGCCTGGGGTGGATCCCTGAGGCATGGACCAGCTCCGTACCAATGGCTGCCTTTGATGCAGCAGATAGCAGCTCAGAGGAGTGGTGAGGGGGTGGTCAGCAGCACTCCTCAGCCCTCAGGCTTGACTCAACTAAGATATTTCTTTCTTACCATAGCCTTTCCCAGGTAGTCCTTCTTCTCCAGCTGGGCCACTTGCTTTTCGTTTGGTCTAAACAGCTTCCCTGCAGGCACGGCCACCATCTCACAGGTCTTCTGCTTCTGTAGCACAGAGAAATCATAGAGCTCTTCAGGGATGAGAGCATGGACTGCTGAATGTCCCCTTCCTTCTATCTCTTGGATTAAGGTCTCACTCCATAAAGTCAAAACTCCACTCCTGACATGGTTCATTTATCCTGATCTTCCTGTCCCTGCCTCCCCAGTGACCCAAAGCTCTTCCCACCAACTTGTGTCTCACTACAACACTCAAGCCTGCTGCATTTTTCTCCTGCTCTGCTAAAGCCATAGCTAAAAGGTGTGTTCTTTGGCATTTTTTTCCTTCCTCACTGCAGGGCTGCTGTGAGCAAACACAGTGGTTGGGAGATCTGTTCCTCCTTACCAGGATGGCTTCCATTGCCCTGTTGATCTTGTTATGCTGGAGCTCACTCTTCATGCTCATGGCTCGTGTTAGGTGCTCCTCAGCTTTCTTCCAGTCCTCCATCGTGGCATACACCAGTGCAATGTTATAAAGTATCTACCAAAGGGATTGGGAGCAAGGAAATGAGCTCTTAGAGCAGATGGATGATTGCCAGGAGGGTGATAGAGGACAGCAGGGCAGTGGCACAGGTGGTTGCTTGTGGGGCACAGAGAGAGGCTGGCTGTCTTCTCTTTAGATTTCTTGCACTGGTGAAGAAACCTCTGGAATCAAAACTGCTGGTCAAGTCTTTCTCACCTCGCAAGCGAAGAGCCTGTACCGCAGACCCAGGATCTTGTAGTCAATGAGCTGGTTGCCTCGCAGCTGGGCCAGTGCCTCTTTGAAATCCTCAATGGCCTTTTCATGGCTGTAGAGCAGAGGACAAGGGTGTTACCACCTCGTGATGGCAATCTGCTTGCCTCATAGTCTTTATATATGCTTGTGTGAGTTAAGTTGGGTCTCTCCCATCTCCTTGCAATGTTTCTGGACACTCCAGGGTGAGAAGAGATGCTCCAAGACTGGTGTTAACCCCAAGAGTGCACTGCTGATGGACAGGAACCTGTTTTACCTTGAGGGGTTGCAGTTTGGCCCCTGGGGGTCAAATTGCCTGGGGCTGTCCTCAGCTAAAGGCTGGCGTCCCTGCAAGCAGCAAAATTGAAATAGAAACCCTTCCACTCACTTCTGCCTCTGGTAAAACACTGTCCCCCGCTGGAAATAAGCCACTGCCAGGTGTTTGTCGCAGCTGATGCTCTGGGTGAATGCCTGCATGGAGGTCGGAATAGGGCATAAAGGAGGTAAAAAGACAAAAACTGAAGGTGTAGAGCAGTTATACCTGTCCTACTTCAGCCAAGTGGCCTAAGCTGAGGTCTGTGTCTCCTGCAGTGCACGAGGTTCCTAATTTTTTTTAGCTGGAATCTGTCACAGCCTGCTCAGCAGTTTAGTGCCTCTGTAGTCACCCCTCGGAGAAAAGGTACGGCAAGCAGCAAGCCATGCACCTCTTCCGCTGCTTCGCCTGGAAAATAGGCTCAGCAGGACCAGCCCAGGGGTGTCACCCTTCACCCCAGTTTTAAAGGCCCTGAATCCTTCCCTTAGTCTGACTGTGGCCCTTAATCCCTCCTACCCACTGCATCCATCTGACTGTCGGGTCTGTGTGCAAACTCACTGGTGCCTGTCAGTAGTAGTGACTGCTGTAGAAGGCAGTACCTTACCTGCTCTGCCTCGGCCAGCTGTCCCAGAACCAAATGGATGCAGCCAATGTTAAAGCAGATTTTGGCAGGGGGGTTCTGTACGGCTGTGAAGGCATCCAGAGCTGCCCTCCACTCCTTCCTATCCACTGCACACACTCCTTCTTGCCACAGCCGGATCGTCTCCACCAAGGACATGGCTTGGTAGTGCAGGACGCGGCGTCCTCGGCTGCGTTGTGGATCCCGCCCCTCGCCTTGTCCTTCTGTGTGGCGCTGCTCGGCCTCTCTCTAGCTCCCTTCTGCCTGTATTTCTGCCTTCCCCACTGCCTGTGTCGCAAACCTGACAGGAAGTGGCCTCACATCAGTGAAATGCAGCCTCGGGATGAGGAAGTGGGGCAGAGGCAGCAGGTTTGCATGCGGCACTCCTGTGGGTTGCACCCCAGGTCCTCTCTGCCAGCTAATCCATCCTCGCCTCATCAGGTTTTGCTTCTCCAGGCTTTTCATAGAAAGACATGGATTTTGTCAGCTGGGTGGTTGATCAGGTCAAATTCAGGGCTGCAAAGCCACAGGGCAAGCACTGCAGCTGAGCCCCTTGTGCCCTCTGAAGTGTGGTCCTTGATGGAGGTAGTTGCTAAATGGCTCCTGCAGGCACAGCTGCCTGCAGCTGGACTGGCACTACCCTGCCTGCTGGCCCAAGCAGGAAAATGAAGTACAGCCCAAGGCACAGCCTGGGAGAGCATTTGTCCTGCCCATCTCCCGCTGCATTGCCCCAGTGAGGGGCTCTGCTGCTGGGGGTGTGTGGAGCTGCCCAAAGATGGGCTTTGAGGGGCAGCGTCTGTGCCATGCTGAGCCCTGGCAGCAGTGGTAACTCACATTTAGCCCAACATCACTTCTGTTGAGGTGGGCTGCTGCCAGCAGGGGTGTCCTGGGTTCAGCAGTAGCAGTCATTTTTCGCCTTCTTGGTAGCTGGTGCAGTGCAGTGTTTTGACTTTCGGCCTGGGAACAGAGCTGATAATAAGGATGTTTTGGTTTGGCCAAGGACTTTGTGGGCCTCATGCTCTACCAGGGAGGAGGGGAAGCCAGGATGAAGCAGAGACAGGACACCTGACCCAAACTGACCAAAGAGGTATTCCATACCACAGCACATCATGCCCAGGATGTAACTGGGAGTTAGCCGGAAGGGCTGGGGGACTGCAGGGTTGAAGGAGGTATCGGTCAGAGCTTGGTCAGGCTGGGGGGGCGAGTTATCGGTCGGCTGGTGGTGAGATGATGTATTCTCTTCCCTTGTTATTTCCTTTATCATTATTATCATTGGTGGTAGCAGTAGTGATTTGTGTTATACCTTAGTTACTAAACTGTTCTTATCTCAACCCGTGGGAGTTGCATTCTTTTCGATTCTCCTCTCCGTCCCTCCGAGAGCAGGGGGAGGGCAAGAAAGGGGGGGAAGTGAGTGAACGAATTACCTGACTGGGTTTAAACCACGACAGTTCTTTTTGGCGCCCAACGTGGGGCACGAAGGGTTGAGATAACGACAGATTTGACTGGATTAATAGTCACTCGTCACAATGCTGATTTATTGGCTCTCAGAGTTGTTCTTGTTGATCTCACAGCTTCAGAATGTTGTAACTTACGTAGAGCCGGTATTTGCTGTGATAGTGTTTATCAAGTGTGGGGCCTGGGCTAAGGTTCTTGTCTCACTGTGCTTCATGGCAATGGCTTGTAATACGGGCGGGCTCCAGCAGCAGGGCGGGACGGACGTGGCCGTGGACTTGTACCTGGCCGTCCGGCTGCTCTTCACCGTCCTGGCCCTCACCCTACTCTCCATCTTCGTGAGGCTGCGGGGAGCCGAGGGGGAGCGGCCCCGGGAGCCGGCGGCAGCCGAACCGGCCCGGGAGAGCGGCCCCGGGGTCCAAGCGGCGGCGGGAGCGGGGCCGGAGGCCGCGAGGGGACGGCTGCCGGTGGAGGAGGTCGGGGCGGTCGAGGAGCAGAAGGAAGCGGCTGCCGAGCAGCGGGAGAAGGCGGCGGAGGAGCCGAGCCCCGCGGAGGAGCCGAGCCCCGCGGAGGAGCCGAGCCCCGCGGCCGAGCCCAGCCCCGCGGCCGAACCGAGCCCCGCGACGGCCGAGAGCGTTTCCCGGAAGCCGCCCGCCGAGCCCCAGGAGGATGCAGGAGACCACGCAGCATTTCCCAGCAAGGCAGAGGAGGAAGAGCTGGACTCAGGAAAAGAGAAGCTGGTGGTGGGAGAGCCGACAAGTACAGCAGTTACACCAGCCCCAGTGACAAGTACAGCAGTTACACCAGCCCCAGTGACAAGTACAGCAGCATCGTTTGAGAGTTCTGAAGGTTTTGAATGGCCTTTGGGTATCCTTGGGACCTGCCTGCTGATTGTGATGGGGATCAGCATGTTGGCACACACACAGACTGTGTTCTACCCACAACCATTTTGTCTGATCTCAAAAGTTAAGCAGAGTCGGGTTTGGGTCTTGTCTGGGGTTAGACGACGATACAGGGGGACCAAGAGGTTTTCCCCAAGGCTGGACAGTCATGAGTGGCAGGGTGTGTGTGACAGTATGGGCAAGTATCTAGTCCACTGGGCCCCTCCAGTGCTTTGGAAGCACCGGAGATGGAAGGCAGCTGTATGGAGTCCCCAGCAACAAGCTGCAGAAACTGCTTAAGGGGACAGTGAATTATTTTAAGCCTGGTGGGCCCATGGCACTTCAGGCCATCAGAGCAGAGATGCAACACAGAGATGGACTCATGATCGAGGGGTGGACTTAGCAATGGACATTATTGCCCAGGTTATTCACGAGTGTGAACACTGCACACAGTCTCTCCTGCTCTGGAAGACTGTTACAAGAGATGGAGCCTGACATGGACCAGATGGACGCAGCAGCTTTATAGGGACTGGTCCATGCACTAAATTAAGAGTGCACCGAGATAAGAGTGATGGTATATTGAAAATGTGGGATCTGAGCATGACATGAATGGTATGGAATAAGGGGTGGATAATGTCCTGGGTTCAGCAGTAGCAGTCATTTTTCGCCTTCTTGGTAGCTGGTGCAGTGCAATGTTTTGACTTTCAGCTCGGGAACAGAGCTGATAACAAGCGATGTTTTGGTTTGGCCAAGGACTTTGTGGGCCTCATGCTCTGCCAGGGAGGAGGGGAAGCCAGGATGAAGCAGAGACAGGACACCTGACCCAAACTGACCAAAGAGGTATTCCATACCACAGCACGTCATGCCCAGGATGTAACTGGGAGTTAGCCGGAAGGGCTGGGAGTCTGCAGGGTTGGAGGAGGTATCGGTCAGAGCTTGGTCAGGCTGGGGGGGCGAGTTATCGGTCGGCTGGTGGTGAGATGATGTATTCTCTTCCCTTGTTATTTCCTTTATCATTATTATCATTGGTGGTAGCAGTAGTGATTTGTGTTATACCTTAGTTACTAAACTGTTCTTATCTCAACCCGTGGGAGTAACAAGGGGGTAACCTGGTGTCGTGGTTTAAACCCAGTCAGGTAATTCGTTCGCTCACTTCCCCCCCTTTCTTGCCCTCCCCCTGCTCTCGGAGGGACGGAGAGGAGAATCGAAAAGAATGCAACTCCCACGGGTTGAGATAAGAACAGTTTAGTAACTAAGGTATAACACAAATCACTACTGCTACCACCAGTGATAATAATGATAAAGGAAATAACAAGGGAAGAGAATACAACACCTCAGCACCAGCCGACTGATAACTTGCCCCCCCTCAGCACGACCAAGCACCGACCGATACCTCCTCCAACCCTGCAGTCTCTCAGCCCTTCCGGCTAACTCCCAGTTACCTCCTGGGCATGACGTGCTGTGGTATGGAATACCTCTTTGGTCAGTTTGGGTCAGGTGTCCTGTCTCTGCTTCCTCCCGGCTTCCCCTCCTCCCTGGCAGAGCATGAGGCTCACAAAGTCCTTGGCCAAACCAAAACATCGCTTGTTATCAGCTCTGTTCCCAAGCTGAAAGTCAAAACACTGCACTACACCAGCTACCAAGAAGGGGAAAAATGACTGCTACTGCTGAACCCAGGACACCTGGCACTCCGGGAAGGGCAGGGGGACATTGAGCATGTGGCAGCTGCAGAGGTAGTGATGGCAGGGGTCTGTCTGACCTGCTGATTCAGTTTGGAGCTGGATGTTCTGCACATGGTTTCTAAGCAGTTTTGGAAGGACCTTGCCGCATCTACTAGCCATGTGATGTGTATTTTCTAAGAGCTTAAAATACATCAGCAAGACTTGTCCCTTGTGTGTTTACTGAAACTTCCCCATCAAGTTACAAAACGCTGGCAGTGGGAGGGAGGCTGTGGAGGACACTTGTTTGACTTCCGCTTGGCAAGAAAGCTGGGCTGCTGAACAGCAAGGATTTTAACCAGAAGTAGGACTAAGCACATCTCTGAACCTGGAGCTCTCTTTGGTTTTCCAATTGTAAGCATGCCCTTGGCATCCCTCTATGCCCAGTTGACTCCCATGGGCTTCCTACAGGAGCATGGAGGAGATTCTTTGAACTCCAGAAAAGCAGAGGGAAATGCCACCAGGTGAAGTGATGCTGAAGGAGAGAGGTGGGAATAACAACATGGTGAAGATGAAAACACCTCCGAGATGCCTTTTCTCACTCCGGTGGGGAATGGGAGACCCCATCTGGCAGGAAATGGTTCAACTTACTGTAGGGATAACTTTCTACTCGTTTAATTACCTGAATTGATGCACTGCAGGGTCAGGCTTACCCCTAAACCAGTACAAAGGGAGCTGGAGGAGAACACGAGATCACCCCTATGACAGTATCTGTTTTTTTTTTTCCTTGTGGTTCACAGAAAGATGGGATCTGAAAGATGCAAGCACAGCAAATGCTCACAGCAGCTATCCTTCTGCTTGCTTATTTTTAATGTAACATTCAAGTCATTTCAAAGCTGTGATAAATGCACCCCTTCTACTGAGACTCTTCTTCCCCTTTCTCTTACCACGTTGATTTAGTAAGCAGACTTGTTTTTTTTCTATGACAATGTCCAAGAGGAAATGAGTAACAGAGATGGTGACATCTGTGGGAGATTCTTGGAATCCAGCACAAAAGCAGATCACCAGAGACAAGTAGGAAATACATATAAATGCCCAAAATCCAGGTGGCACAGAGGAGTTGGCTTTGAGTTTGTGTAGCAAAAATATGCACAAGTTTATCATAATCTATGAGGAGACCCAGAAATAGACTGATCTGGGCACCAGAAAACACTGTGTATGGGGAAAGACCAAGAGGATTGACCTTGTTTGGGAGAAGATCTATGATGCAGGAGTAGAGAAGACTGAGCACATCCAGATCCTTCCCTGCAAGGCAGGTTTTTTTGGCTCGCTCCCTAAACAGTGGCAGGGAGCAAGGCAGGAGCCCACAGGAACTGTTTGGCGATGATTCAAAGCCCAGGGCTTGGCAGTGGCTGCAGCTTCTCTCAGCTGTGACTGATGAGGTGCTGTTGTCACGTTCTGGCCAAA